CTCTCTCTCTCTCTCTCTCTCTCTCTCTCTCTCTCTCTAGTGTTTAGTCCTGATTTCATTTTTTCCTCGAGGTAGACTGGCCTCACTGTTATTACTTTGGATTCCAGGTCTCTGTTATAAATCATTGTCATCTCATTTTAGAGACAAACACGCTACCTGCTCATTGTTGTGCGTGTTATGTGTTCATGTTTATGTGCTTATGATCAGCTTCCCGTTGTTCCATGACTTGCGCGTGAATAAACTCCAGTACCGAGTGTATGTGTGTGTATATTTGGGATGGTAAACACATTCCTGGAGTTTGCCTGCCCTTGACCCACCAAGAGGCAGGCAAACTGTTTATCTAGCGAGAGATAGAAGTTGAGAATGAAGATGAGGTTTGCTGAGCTGCATTTCTTTTCAAAATTAGTGTCAGGGGTTATCCCTATATCTGTATCCACAGCACCATTAATACAGAGATACTCCCCCTTCTGCTAGCATTCAGACTGTTTCTTTACTCTTACAACCAGCTGCTCCACATTTATTTGTTTGTACATGTACTGCAGTCTAACCGCACACTTGTCTCCTCAGTCAAGTGTTTCCTCATGGACTTCCAGAGGAGTTCACCCTGGTCTTTACCCTGCTGCTGAAGAAGAAATCTTTGAATGATAACATTTACCTGTTCCAGATATCAGATGAACACGGTTATCCTCAGGTGTGTGTCCACTTTCCGCTCAAGTCCATAGATCTGTGCCTTTAGGAACTGCTAATTATAGAGCTGCATTCTAAATCATAATATACTAATTGCTGATTATTTGTTTAAATATTGGAAAAAAATGTGACAGACTGAGTAGTGCTGATAGCAGCACACTTACCCATGACATGTATATAAGCCAATAAAATTGCAAAAATGACTGAAAAATTGTAATATTGTAAAAAGGTGAAGATTTGTAGTTACTCTTTTAGAAAATTACATTGTTACACCAGTAGGTGAAGACAGGTGACTGTTTATACAGTAAGTGAATCATTGAATCATTCATTTAATCAACTCTAATCAACATTCATTTAATAACTGAATTAAAAACATGTTTAATTCAGGACTGAAACAAGTATGAATGAGTCATTGAATCATTAACTCAATTGATTTGTTCAAAACACTGATTCATTCAGGTACAAAAACATGTGAGTGGGTCATTGAATCACATTTAAATTGATTCATTCAAATTCATTGGTAACACTTTACAGTACGGTCACTTTTTAATGTATTCACTAAAATTAACTAATGAGCAATTCATTTGTTACAGTATTTATTAATTTTGGTAATGTTAGTTAATAAAATACATTTGTTCATTGTTAGTTCATTTTAGCTCAGGTACATTAAATAATGTTAACAGATACAACTTTAGAATTTAATAATGTATTAGCAAATGTCGAACTTATCATTAACTATGTTTTTGAATAATTCTTCATAGTTCATGTTAACTAGCCATGCTGCTTATGTTTTATACGTGAGTTTTGCATTTCTGACTTAAATATACTATAGGTTTATGCGATAGAGCTCTTGAGTACTTAGTTAAACATATTTCATTTTAAAGCTACTTGATTATGCTACACCAACCCTCTACGCACACCTTGGCAATATAATCGCCATTGGCTAGTACATTTTTTTGTTTACTCGCCAGACTGATATACTATTTTACACACACACACACACACACACGCGCGTTTACTTAGCTATCTAAATGGGGACATTACATGGACTTCGCGTGTAAAATCTAAGAATTTATTAGCCAATGGCTAATGTTAGATATTATTTAGTCGCCCAGAGTAAGATTTAGTCGCATATGCGAGTGATTTACTCGCAATGTAGAGGGTTGTACACCAATACTAACACTATGCGAGAATTATGTGAGAAATATGACTTTGGCACATAAATAAAACAAGTTAAAGAAATAGTTAAATAAATAAAAAAATAGAAATGTGAAAATTAAAAAAGATATGCCTTATGACAAGCATCTTAATCTTAAAAGATTATATGCACTTTTGCCGTGATAAACAGCTAAATAATTTATTGTTATGAAATAATAATAAAAAAATATATATATATGTATATTTATGGCCAACAGGTATGGCAAAATGCTCATTTTGGACCCTGTACTACAGCCTCAACAAAATCACATTTTCTAAATAAAACTCTCTTTTTCCCTATGTATCACACTCCTTTAGTTCTCACTGGACTGGAATGGTCCAGATGGTAACCTGGCCCTGCGGGTGAGAGGGGCTGACCCTGAAGGGTCCATGGTGGGGTGTGTGTTCAAAGGTGACGGTGTGGAATCCCTGAAGGACATGCGCTGGCATAAGGTGGCTCTGAGTCTGCAGAGAGATGCGGCCTCCCTGCACGTGGACTGCAGCTCCATTGAGAACAAACCCCTGGAGCTCCGTGGCCAGTTACCCATCAATGGACACACGCTGCTGGGTATGAGGGCTACTGATGCTGCCCCTGTGGAGGTGAGGACCTCTGCTGATCCTACGAATGATCGAGGCCGTATTGTGAACCTTTCACAGAGGAAGAGGCTTGCCGTATAAGAATGTCAATTAGATGAAGGACTGCAGAAGCTTCCGGCTCCTCTGATAATTGAGCACTACACTGCTAATAGAGTAGTCGGAAGTAGATGTTTCCTATAAGCTGGCTTCCCGCAGGTTTTGCCCTAGGCATCCTGTCTGCCTGGGAAATGTGGCAGGGCTGTGTCTGTGGATGTATGAGAGACAGAAAGACTACGGGCGCTTCTCTTCAGGGCTAATGCAACTGAGCTCTCTCAGCTCGAAAAAGATGAAAAGAACAGCCCATGCTAGCCTAACCGAGCTTCAGCCATTACTAATTAATTAGTTCGTTAATCCAACCACTTAGCGAAATTATCATGTAAGTGGCCATATGTAAAGCAGTGGGGTCCAGCATTTAAAAAGCTCATTTTCTTTGTTCTTGCTCTGCTTTTAATATGCTTTCTCTCTTTATCTTTCTTCAGATTGACGTCCAGCAAGTGATGGTGTATTGTGACACCTCTCTGGCTATCCAGGAGGCCTGCTGTGAGATACCTGGAGCTCGGGTAATAAAGTTGGAACTGTTAAAAACACTGTAACTTGCTGTAAAATTTCAAACATGACAGAGCACTAATTCCTAGTATGGGTAACCATACTTGGCCACATGTCACGTCACGTCACGTATTCGCCCACTATGGGCTGTTAAATGGATTTTTATGGCATTATATAGAGAGCAGGGTCTCAAGTTTTAAAATGGGTTAAAGTTTAAAATGAGATCTACACAACAAAAATTATACTTATTTGGATAGTGTTTGCTGGAAATGAACAAACATGTTAACAAAAAGTAGAAAATGGTATATTTTGTATTGGGAAAAAAAGGAAAAAGAAATCAATTCACTTCTGTTATTCGATGTCCAGTAATTAGGTATTTTGACATTATCAACATTTACTTAGTCTGAGAAATCAATCTGTCATTAATTTATTTCATTTTTAGCAAAGAGGATACCTTCAAGGCTCAGTATTAATGGTTGTCTGCATGTCTTGGATTACCATATTAAAAATAAAAATAAACGATTGAACTACGTTAAGTTGTTTGTTCAGACAAAGAAATAGTTCACCTTAAAAAAAGTTTACTCACAAACTATTTTAAATAATTTTTGGTAATTAAAATAAAATTAAATATACATGAAATAATTCAATGTAAATGAAAATGAAAATTAGAACATGATTAAACATGTTTAAGTTGAAATTCAAGTATTGAAGTGTTTCTGATTAAATAAATGTAGTCTTGGTGAGCGTAAGAGACTTATTTAAAAAAAAGTCTGTATTAAAAATGTCTGTACTAAAAAATGTACTGACTCCTCACTTTTGAATGGTATTGAATGGTTAAAAAACAGACAAATGTGGAAAAATAGAGAGTGAGACAGAGAGAGAAAATATAATTAAATTTTTGAGGTTAAATATTTATTCAAAAGTGAAGCAGCTTGCATCAAAGTAGCTGTGAAATTAGTTAACAGTGAGTCAGTTAACAATGTTATGGTCCCATGCATGTAAATTACATGAATAGCTATATAATTTTACCTTAGAGGTTTGAACTTACCACAATCCAAGCAAAGGTAGAATAATTTTTTAAAGGGTGAGTGTTTTTCCCAGTATTGTCAAGTAATATTTCACCCTAGCTGATGAAACATTCGCACATGTTTTCAATGATCACAGTGGAGGCAAAGCTCATGTTTTGCTGAGGAAATGGATGCGTTCTTTCTGTCAAAAAATCATTGTTGTAGTTGTACTTGATGGATCAAGCTCCAGCAGCGACTCGGCTTCCATCGAGGCGGCTGTGGTGGAGGAACAGCGCTTGAGTCATCGATGTGGGAGTGCTGCTTTATTTGAGGATTTGGAATTTGGTGCGTTTCTCCTCTCTGAATTGATCAGAGCTTTGGCAAGGCTTGCTGAATCGTAAAGGCTCACAGGAATGCCTCACTTGCAGATAACTTCAGCCTGTATGAAAAGCATACAGCCACCCACAGCCTGGAATAGTAAAGAAGGTAGAGATCAGGAAATGTCACCTGCGAAACTTATTTGACAAAGGAAGCGCACATGGGAATACGTACAGCCAACTCGGAGCTGGCATTTTGAAATTTGATGCAATTTTGGATCAGAGGATATTTCACAGCCAACAACTGTTAGACATCATTAGTTACGTGCCAGATGGACCATTTTTAGTCTGAAAAAATTATTATTCCCTTTACATGTTAGTTACCTATTTGTGAGGTAAGGTATTATTAACATTAAAACCATCTGACTAAAACATCAACATGGTTGCCATAGTGTGTGTGTGTGTGTGTGTGTGTGTTTGAATGTAAGCCAACAAAGTTCTTTGTGTTCTGCTGTTTTGGGGCGAATGCTCAAAGCTCCCTGCAAGCAGTGTTTAAAATGGAAACAAGGGCAACTATTTCCCCCTTGAATGCATTTGCTCTAACGTGGCTTTTTAAAAGCAGAGGAGTCAGCGATTGCATCTTGAAATGCAGAAGAAAAGATGCCTTATGTTGTAGATGTCTTGAAAGACCACATTTATATCAACACCAGGAAATGTGCATGAGAAGGATTTTTTAAACATAAATCAAATCCAGTGTTGTTTTAGTGTTTTTTATATACTGTTATGGTTTTTATTCATATTAGCTTTTATTTTTATATTTTCAAGTAATTATTTTAGCAATTTTGTTTGCTATTTTATTTTATTATTTTATTTTATTAGGCAGCAAATTGAATTTTAAGTTTAAGTTCTAAGTTAAAAATTGTCATCTAATATTTATATTATACCTAAATCAGTTCGACCTGTGCTCTTTGTGCTTCTCTAGTGCCCACCGGATGCTCCCAAGAGTCGACGAGCCGCAGAGAACCAGGTGGAGTTTGTGACCAATCCCTTCACTCAGGTAAATTAATTTGACTGTTAAAAATTATAATCTGTTGCAATTAATTTGTAGATATGTTGTTGTTAAAATACAGTCCATGAACTCATTCATTTGCAAAAACAACCCTTGATATAGCACTTGAAAATGAGCCACTGAAAGTGTCTCTGAAAGGGCCTCTAATGAAAAGATCTTACAGAAATGAATAGAGGGGTTGTTAGTTATTGAATGTGGGATCCTGATCTTGAGATGGTTTGAAGTGTTTGAAGACACACACGTACTTGCCTGCAGTGGGAGCTATTAAGGGGGCATAGACAGAGGATGCATCCTTGCTTTCAAAAGCAGAAAATTTGCAATGGAATGGAACATATTGAAGAGGCCTCAAGATGCGTTTTTTAACGAGCTGTATTTTTTTATTCAATACGCTATTTTAAAACGCAACAAATATACGATAACCAATGACATCCATCAAATTAATTTGTGCACATTAATTAATGGTGCAAACCAAACAATTCCTGCGTGCAAGCCTCAGGAAGCCCAAAGAAGTAATCTTCCTAAAATAGGTTTGCCAGTCTCTTTAGGTGAATATACTAATGATATATTAATTTGCAGCACCCTTTTGAGTTAAAACACTTGAATGGTGCATCCCAGCAGTATTACAGCACATAAAAAGATGACAAGATGAGCTGAAGATGTGTTGTAGGCTGATAAATATTTCTCATCCTGATATATTCGACATAAAATGGCACAGTTAGTGGCCATTAAGCATCCCACTAGCAGGCAGTTGAATGAGCTCTTTTGCAGAAACTGGAAATCAATGTAAATTTTTGTGAACAATGCCCAGTGGGCCGTAGAAATGCTGAAATCAAATGCTCTTTTATTATTCATACTTGCTCTTTCTCTTCTAGTCTATGCACATTTGTTCCTGCATCTACATGTTGTTCTTCTCGCCCTCTCTCTTTTTCTCTCCTGTTATTAGTGGTCATTTTGAATGTCTTTTGAATAGTTGGCCCTCATCTACAGTTAATAAGCTGTGTTTTTTTGTGGGTCAATCATATATATATATATATATATATATATATACACACATACACACAGTCAAACCAAAAATTATTCAGACACAATATAATTTTTTATATTTTTTTTCACTAGTGGGTGCAGGACAGTATAGTTCATTTATGTAAGTGAGGATAGCAAAATAAAGTAAACTGTGGCATTGTCACGTTACGCTGCCAGAAGGAACACAGAGCCGTGGATAATCGAAAGAGTCTTTAATGGTATCCAACACAGAGGGTAAATCCAACACAGGGAACAGGAGGTAGACACACGTACATCACTGGTAGAACCAACAAATACAAACTGAACAGACTGGGGCTTATAAGGACTGGATAACGAGGGACAAAATAGACACAGCTGGAATCAAATTAACACAATTAACAAGAGGAGAAACTGGGTCACAGGGAGCAAAACACACACAGACAGTCCAGAACCCTGACAGACATATTATACCCAAAAATTATTCATACATTGGATTACCAGTAAAATTTATAAAAAATTTGGGACCAAAAATTATTCAGACACTTTGACCTGACCATGTTTTTCTCAAGTGTTTTCCCCTTAATTGCTAATGCAAACTTTTTACAACACAGATTGAACAAAATTAAGCAATGCTTGGTAATTGGTTGACCTAAATTGGTATTATCTAATTATGTACTTAAATTTAACAGCTGACAGCTATTCAACTTAATTAATTACATACCTTTCTATCAAAGATATCTGACATTATCAAGTTGAATTAGTTCTGACACAGTTTAACTCTTGAGTTCTTGTCATATTTTATTACCATTTTCTAAACTATAGCGAATAAACTGTGATAATGTGAGAAATGTTGAAGGTGTCTGGATAAATTATGGTTTGTATAGGTAACACTTTATTTTTTACTTTATTTTATCTTATTACACGTTACATGCACTTGCTATTATAAAAACAATGCATTTTGCATAATTACAAGTAACCCTAAGCCAAACCCTAATCTTTACCCTAACCATATAGTAAATACACATAGTTACTTAATATTCCTTAGTACTTAAATGTATAATTACGCTGTAATAAGGACACCTTAAAATAAAGTGTAACCTAGATTAAAATGTGTAATTTTATTTAATGCACAGGGAGTGAAATCACAATAAAAATTAATACAATTATTGTTTACATTATGTAATGTCTTAATATTTAAAAATATTAAAATATTTTTATTATATTATATTATATTAAACATTTCGAAGATATTTTTTTTAAATACTTTTTTTTTTTTACTTGACAGCAGGCTGCTATTATCAACCTTAATTTTATGGGAAAAGAGAAAATCAGCCATTTGGCTAAATACCTCCTGCGTGATTCATGGAAAAAGAACAATCATACAGGTTTGGAGTATAATGGGGCAAGTAAATGAAAGAGTTTTGATTTTTGGGTGAGCAATCACTTTAAAACAATCCTACTGCTAGCCAACCGTACACTATAAACAAAACTCCATCAAAGTTGCATGGACTAGAGCTGAAGTTTTCATCAGCAACACAATTTGACTGCTGAAAAATCACATCTTTTTGCATGTGTGTGTCTCAGACTTCCCCAAGAATAACCTTAAGTCTTTTCCAGATAACAATGACTTCCACTTAAACCAGATATTTGGATGCTATTTTCACTGCTAACGCAAGCTGTGAATATGGGGGGAGTAACTTGTCCTCTGTGGAAAAGAGGATTTGTGATGTTGGTGTGGGCTGCTCTTGTTGTTTCTCCTGGCAGCAGTGAGTCATGATCATTAGCAGGGCTAATTAAAAGCTGGTTGGTGAAGGTACTTCAGCTGGTCTCCAACTGGTCACATATCTTCTCCGCTTGCCACGTGTATTGTTTCATATACACTCACACATGCGACGTAATTACATCCAGAGGGCCCTGTATTGGAGCCAAACGCACTCAAAGCAGTTTGTTAAGTCTACACAGTCACACGTACACCAACATTCAACTCCTGCTTTGCGTGGATAAACGTCTCAACACGAATCACTCTCCATTCTCTCACGAGAACAGTGGGAGATTTGAGGTGGAGATGATTTAAAATGGTTTCGTGGTGTAAAATGCTCTCTTAATCTTTGCTGCCATAGTGACAGAGGAATTAGCTCCATTGGTACACATTAGATGTATCACTTTGTGTGCTTAATGCCACTTCCTGTCTCAGTATTTGCTAATTTAATCCCTCTGATAAAATGTTAGCAGAACTAACAAATCAATGTTTGACCTTGCCAGCCAAATTGAGCAATTGTCTGAATTTAGATGGCAATGCACAATTTATACACTGCAAGAATTACTTACTTTCAAGCAAACATCTTTACAATGAGATACATTTGCTTGAGAAACAAACTTACATTAAATATATATAATGAAATAAGTTTATTTTTCTTACCCCATTAACACACTGATTTATTTATTTAATCTAACCCTGATTTATAATTACAATTTAAATGGGGTAAGAAAAATGAACTTTTTATAGTCTATGAAAGGTCTCTTTATAATGTCTTACTGTCTAATCGTTCTTTTTCTTCTCAAATAAATGTTGTTTTTTTTTCATTTCAAATAAATTTATTTAAATACTTTAATTTATTATATTAAGAAAATGTATTTATTTACTGGAAAAAAAAAACGACTTCAATTTTCCAGTGTATGCTTTATATATATATATATATATATATATATATGTGTGTGCTCGCGCATCTGCGCCGCCGCGCGCTCAATCCACTCAGCGTGCTTTGTTAATCAGCTCGCGCTCATCAGCTATACAGGCGTTAATACTGAATGTTTAACGTTATATTCATTGCATACATATACTTCGTAGTAGACATCCTTAACTCCATTCTGCTGTCTGTTGTTCTGTTGTCGGTGTTTCTTTGTTTGAATATGGCGCTTATCACATGCTGTGTGGTATCGGCGTTTGGTATCGGGGCATTTTAACGAGTACGAGTACAGGAGACCAGTATCGGGCCCGATACCGATACCAGTATCAGTATCGGTGCATCCCTAATATATATATATATATTTCTGTTCATTTTCTGTCATTTCAGACTGAAAAAAAAAGAAAAAAAAAGTGCACAACAATGAAGGGGTGACGCTCTTAAATATCAAGAGTGCAAAATAGACACACTCCACATTTCAAACATGAAATACTGCCTTAATTGAAAAGTAATATACAAATAGTAGAAAAAAATATTATTTTCAATTGGAAAAAAATTATCATAATTATTGCATAAGTATTAATTAGTACCATTAAATTATCTAAAAACATTTTATAAAAAAATAAAAATATATAATTAACAATTTGAGTTGAATTACTGAAATAAATGAACTTTTCCACGACATTCTAATTTATTGAGATGCACCTGTATATATATATATATAAATGTAGCATATGTCTTCAATATATTTGCAGTTGTATTACTTTTAAAGAAACTGCCATGTTTTGCCGACGTGTACATGAGATCATGCACAAATTATGGTAATTTTGTGCGTGTTTGTTAATTTGTGGAATTCTTCCATATACAATCTTTATCACACAGCTCCACAGCTGTGAGCTCAAGCTCAGCACAGACATACTTCCAGCCCTTTTCTTTATTTATCTGTTGGAGATATACATGCGCAGACAGGCCAAAAAAAATTTAAAAATTCACACAAGCTCCCATGTTTTCTCCTGACCCAGGTTACTGTCTTGTACCATAGCAGTCTGTGTTTTACGACAGACTGTAATGAGTTCCAGGCTGTGTTGGACGCTGCTAGCATTAGTCTACTTCTGGATTAACCCCTTCCTCCGACGCAGATCCTCAATCAACCCCGCATTAAAGTCCCTATAGAAGCACAGCATTCTTCTGTCATCACATCTGTTTTCTGTTGAGCTCACCGGCAGGGAGAAATTCATGAACTGAGAGCTGCACGGTTGCAGCTAAACAAAGTTTCCTGCATTATTCATGCACTCATTCCACTAGGGTTTTTGGAACAGGTCATCACAATTCTCTTCCATCCTGTGCAAGCCTGTAGCTATACGGACAACATGTCCATTTCATGTTCTCTGTGGAACCCTGTTTTCGGTGTTTGTGTGTGCATGCGTGCGTGCATGCGCTTTCAGCAATTTCTAACCTGGATCTCAGGGTATGACCGGAGATTAGCTACTTAGCTCTTTTCTGTCATACTCTTGTTTTTATGATTTCTCCTTCCTTTTTCATGCCTATCCAGTCTGATTAGCCTTCCCGATGCTGTGTTTGCTCTCTCTGCTCGGACATGACTCGAGGATTTACTTACACATCTGCTCCACAAACACATCTTTTGTTTTTCTGCCTGTCCCCGATGTTCTCTTTCAAATCATGTCCCTCCTCACTGCACTTCCCCCTTTCCGTTCCTGCCAGTTCTCCTCCCCATTTGCACTCTTTCAAAAGAGTTTCATATTCACTGTTGATCATACTGATGAAACTCTGTAACGGTAAAATGATAAGACTAACAATTCTAGATAAAGATATGCCAACATCAAGTCAGCAGAACATTGTTAGGTAAGCATGAAAAGTTAGAGATGGCATAATATGCGCATCGCTAGACCCTATTTAGGAGGCTTTCCTGTTTTATGTGATCTCTCTTCATGTTTGCTGAAAACATGGTTATTAGATCTGTAGCTACTTTGGATTCATTGTGTCTTTTAAAGTTTGTAACATTAACATTTCTTACATTGTCCATTTCTTTGTTTTTGTGTTCTACAGGCAATTCTCGGATCCAAGGAACTGGCAGAAAAAGTAAGTTATTTGAATTAAGTAACCAGAAAATCAAATATTTCTATTTGCCATGAACAGCAACAGGTAGTCCCAATTATAAGGCTTCAAACCTGACAAAAAGAATTGTGGCCCCAGCAGATTTTACCCAATAGCTGTAGAAATTCAGTGTAATTGGTAAGTAAATTGCTGCGTGCTAAGTTGCAGTGGGAAGAACATTGACACTGACCCTGACAAACTCATGAGATAATATACTTATGATAATTCAGCATATTGTGCAATATTACACCACCTGGAATTAAAGGGACTTGCATTTGCTTGGTAAATGTGCTACTCTGGCACAATATGTGAATAACACCCATGTTTCGCACATAAAACTCTTGTCTGTTTGCCACCTTTTCCCCTCTCTGCACCCACTCAACACTCAACTTATTTTTTATGACTCGTAGAAAAAAGGTATTACCTTTTTTCAAATGAATTGCAAAGCCTGAAAATGCCAATATTTGAGTGGGATGTGAGTGGGGCTTTTTTGGCTTTGATTTAATTCACAGAGCTAAACAATGGGTCAACGGCCGTGTCTCAAATTGTTGCGAACCAGTGTTGTTGATAACTGAAACTAAACTATTAAAAATCATTTTTAGCAATGTAACTAAAGCTGAAATAAAATATAAGCATTAGATGAACACTCTCACACACACACACACACACACGGAAATTAACACAAAAAGTAGACATAAATAAAGCTTAAATTATTCTAAAATTACTTTTTAGATTAAAATAAAAAATGGATATATAGAAAAATAAAGAAATAATAATAAAAATGTCAAGAACATAAGAAAATCTGTAAAACTTAAATTAAAATGAAAGTTGAGAATATAAAAACAGATATTCAAAATATTGCTAAATACTTCATATTCTGAGTAACACTGATTTGGATGTAGGACCTTGTGCATCTGTGAAGTCCACACAACCCCATGTGTCCTTTTTGTCATGGGATCAATCTCACATTTGCTAAATCATTAAAAAGTTGATCTTCCTCCATTTTCTTGAAACAACATAAAAGCGCTAATCAAGATTACATTGCGGTACTAACAGTGGAAGTAAACAGGGAAACATTTGAAGGATTTAAAAACAAATGTAAAGCTTATAATCTTAGAAAAGCTTTTACATTATTTATTCTGTTCAAACTAAAGCTGTTTTCATCTTTTTACAACCATTTTAGTGTTTTAGGTGTTACAGTTGGCAAATAAGTTGTAAAATTGATGTTGAATGACTGAAATTGAATGTATTTTTTTTTTCTAACACAAGATTAATGTTAACATGCATATTCTTCATGTCTTCTGTCTATACTATGAAAACAGTGAGTATTTTAATGTTTATGGATCAGCCCTATTCACTATATAGTAAGTGCCTCACTGTAACCTAGATTTTTGCTTTGAAATTAAATTTGCTGATAATATATGTAGCAATATAATGGCTCAAATGCTGCTGTTTGAGCTTAAATTGTATTAAACCCGGTATGTTCCTCTACAGCACTGAGCGCGCACAATTGGTCATAGACAAAGACTCTCTTAAAACGATATGGTCTCTAACAATAGAATATAGGATTGCACATAAATCCATTCATTCATGCGAACAGAGCGAGTGCGTGAAAATCTCAAAGAGTTGATTTTCATCATGTAGCTTTCTTCTGTGTGCACCTCTGGAAAGAATGAATCAGCCCAGAGCGTCAGCCAACCGTTCTCAGAGCTGCGGCCCCTTCCTCTCCTTCTCTCTTACCTCACCACATCAATGCCCGTTAACCGCCTGTTGGCTGAGCAGGACTCGACTGGTGGTGGATTTTGTTTTAATTGTACTCTTCCGCTAAAAACGAACAGCTATTTATAAGTATTTGACTTTGCGTGTCCCACCTCCCTTATAGCTTTGCAGCTGGCGTTGGTGAACATTGCCGTGAGGAGTCTTCTGTTCCTATTGATCTTTGTCTCCCGTGAGAGGGCCGTGGCAAGCTGAAATGGCACGCAGTCGTGGTCCTCGTGCGCGCGCCCCCGATTCTGCACTCCCATGCCAATTAACGTTATGTTGCACTGCCACCAGCAGGCCAACATATGAAACAACATCAAAAAGCAAAGCTGGTTTAAAGTAGAGTGGAGCGAAATACTATTTCAAAAATCACACACAGACATGTCATGGATAGGAACAACCTGGTTTTCTCTTTTTTTCCAGTGTGCAGGCTGTGTACTGCTCAATGAGGAATCGAGTGTGGGTATTCACGTTCAGGTTGTCATGCGTGCAGCATGTTTAATGGCTGTGTAGGTAGGCAGCAGGATTTGCATGCTTGAGTGTGCATGAGTGCTGCGTTATCACGCCCTTGGAAAGAGATGCATTTATGTCTTTGAAAAATCTGGCAAGGATTCATGATACTTGTTGGGTATGAATGTTTAAATGTTGGCCAGACTTGCGGCTGCTTTGGAGGAACTTTTATAAGAACATTATGAGAAGCAGCTATCAATGCACTTGCAAACACACATGCACTGTGTAGTGTAAATGCACAAAATGCATTTAGAAATATTTTCATTTAGAAATGTTTTTTTTTGTCCAGTGCCAGATATTTTTGCACAGTTGATCAGTGCTTTTATCACGCCACATGCTCTGTTCCATATTTGCATGTACAAGATTGAAACCTTGGCACAGTAAACACATGTTTTTTGCTTACTGGCTCAATCCAAGCTGGTCTTTTCAACATAGGGTTCATATGACATTGTGCTATAAAGTGCGGAGTATAATGTATACTCCAAGTATAATGGAGTACATTGAATTCCTCATTTTATTGCAGGTTATTCAGGAGGGCCATGTGCGTCAGTCAGGCCTCAAAGGAGAGAAGGGAGACCGGGTAAGAAATGTCAAACACTGAATCATACCAAATAAGTATGTTTGTGTGCTAAATCCCGCTCTCTGTCCAGGCTTGCTGGGAATAAATGACTGCAGCACTGTTTATTTTGGCATCTTATACAAATGCCTCATTAGGAGCTAGCTTCATTAATCATTTGACAGCACTAATATATATATATATATATATATATCAGATTATATTATCCGCATGACAGTTTGAGTGAAAGTTGGATGTCTTATTTTAGTATTATTTCCAGGTTTAAATTAGATAATCACTTCCAGGTTTTCTCTGTCATCTCATATTTTTGGCCTCCACTGAATGTGAATTAGTTACTTTGGTGTCATGCTGTATCTGTGTGTTTTAGTGCTTAGAAGGTGCTAAAGGGGAGAAAGGAGCGAAGGGAGAGTCGGTAAGTGTGTTCAACAGGCTTCACTGAAGCAGAGGGGATATCTTGATACTATTTCTGGCTATTGATTCACCCATTTCTCATTCTCTTACGTTTCAGGGTCTGGCTGCCAACTGGGGAGAAGCTATAGGAGTGAAGGTAAAGGAAGACGGTATGACTGTTAATGAGTGCATTACAGCTTTCCGCTTACTTATCTCCATTTCTGTCTGTCTGCCTGTCTGTCACTGTCATACATATTCTCAGGGTGACAAAGGACAGAAAGGAGAAGTCGGAGCCACAGGTTTGCCCGGAAATCCAGGCAAAGATGTAAGCGACTAGCATTTGATGTGAAAGTCAAAGATGCTCATACTTTATGTACATTATATATACCAGTGCCCTCTTGAGTCTCCTTCAGACGTGTTGATATATTTCATTGTCTCGCTGCAGGAGTGTTCTCAAAAAGCAATTGTATAGAATGCATAATATGTCTCTGTGCACATATTTTAATTTTAAAAGGATGCAAGAGTCTCTTTCCTTTTATATTGTTTAAAGTGGCTCCATATATTCACAGCACTCTACTGTGAAAAGCATTATGCATTAGACTCTTACCCATATACTCAGTGCTGCCTTTTCTTCTCATTAGATATCTGTTTGGGTGTTAAATCTTCTTAATGCTGCATAGATTACATAAGCCAACAAAGAGCCACAAATCAATGCAGCCTCGTTGATTCTTTTAAATGGATAGTCGGATCGCATTACGCTTAATCTTTTCTATTCCGTATACAAAGCATGCTAAGGGGATGGCGAATATGGCCGAGCCGACTAATGCATATTTGGAATTTGCTTTTAAACTGTTTATCTATCTAAGCCTCCAGTCATCGGTGAACTGACTTGTTTGATTCCTGTTGGAGGGTTGTTATATAAGCAGTGTGATACTGCTAATGCCAGCGTTTGAGATGAACTCAAGCTAATGATCTTTTGTTGGTCTTGGCTGTCATAGGGTCGAGCTAATCCTATTTGTGTGGTGGGCCCTAAAGGACAAAAGGTAAAACGGACTGATCCTCTTGAGGATTTTTAACGGTTTTCTGGGATACTATAAATGAACTAGTTTTGTGGTGTCATTATCTTTAGTGCTTGTTATGCACAGCAAGTGTTTCTCAGCGTTGATTAATTCACAGGGTGTTCCTGGTGTAGTTGGTCCAGAGGGGCTTGCAGGAGAATCAGGCCGCCCAGGACCTCCTGGACCACCTGGAGTTGGAAAACCAGGACCACCAGTAGGAAGATTCATTATTTAAATGCATTCTTTCTAGACAATTTTTAAGATTCCAATTTCAGGTTTTAATACATTTTAAAGTTATTAAGTTTTGGATGCATTCTCTAGTGTATTGTCTTTGAGTTTATTGGATAGAAAATAGAGTCAACCTCCAAAAACAGTGTTGTAAAAAAATAGGAGCTGCAACTGCAACTGCCAAGTTTTTCAGAGAAAAAATTTAACTGATTTTTTTTTCTTTTCTTTTTTTTTTCTGTTATTGTCAATCAATGCATTTGGACCAACTTTTCAGCTTTGTTGTATCAGTTTAGGAAAATAAGTATTTTCCTCTCATTACTGAATTGGAAAAAATCTAAAATAATTAGATTGTTACTAGAAAACGCAATCATTTTAAGTTCACCTTACTACAACAACATTTTAAATTTACAGAACTTATTTCAATTAAGTCCAATTAACTTTCATTATTATTTGAGTGAAGTTAACTCATTTCATTTAATTAATTTCACTGTTCGGTTTTACAGTGTAGTATAATCAGGCTATATTAAGTATAGTATACTACTCCGCATACTACAGTAACATTTCTACAGTAATTATGTACTGTATACCACTATTCCTGTAGCATGTATGTGTAGACCTAACACATTTGCTAGCATATTTGGTATTCAGCAGAAAAACTGACTAGACCTTTAATTTCCAGTGATCAAATTTAATTGAAAATTATATTATGTCACTTATTATTTGATCAGGCTGACTTAAAATATTGTACACCAAAATTGGATTAAAAAAGCCATCACATTAAAAATACAATAGCTTAATAAAAAGCCCAATAAAAATAAAAATCAATCAAAAAATATTTGAGATTTTGAGGTAAGTTGAGGTGTACACTAGTGTTCAAAGGTTTTAATTAATGTTTATTCAGCAAAGATGCATTAAATTGACAGTGTAACATTTATAATGTTACAAAATATTTATATTTTAAATAAGTTCTATTTTTTAACTTTCCGTTCATCAAAAAAATCATGAAAAAATGTATCACAGTTTCCACAAGAATATTAAAGAGCACGGCTGTTTTCAATAAAAGTAATAACAAGAAATGTAATAATAAATCAGCATATTAGAATGATTTGTGAAGGATCATTTGACACTGACGACTGGAGTAATGATGCTGAAAATTCGGCTTTGCATCACTGGAATAAGTTATATTTTACATTTACATTTTACATAACACTGAAATAGAAAACAGTTCTTTTAAATTCTAATGTTTCACAATATTACAGTTTTTACTGTTTTTGATCAACTAATTGCAGCTTTGGTGAGCATAAGACGCATTAAAAAATCTCACCGACCCCAACCTTTTGAACAGTACTGTGTATAATATAAATTAATAATTAACATACAATTTGATGTCATGTGACATACTGTACATTTTGTATTCTAATGGTGTTAAAGCATCTATTGTTGCATATTGTGCACTGTTTAACATACAAAAAAAGTGCACAGTGTATACTGGGCATTATACAGTTATCAGTATGCTAGTGTTCTATTTTGTCTCTTTTTTACTTCCTAAACAGTTGTTTTTATCTCACAGGGGCCCCCTGGTGGAACTCCAGAATCTAAAGGAGAAAAAGTATGTTTACTAGTATATGTTTTCCTGCTATGACCACAAAGTGAAGAGGATGTTAAATGTGTTTTAATGAAAATGTACCATTAGATTTTTTTTTGTGTTCCTTGCAATGTTATATCTAATAATAGCAAAACATTCTCTCCATTTCTAGGGGGATTCTGGGATACATGGTGAAGACGGAAAGCCTGGAGAACCTGTAAGTGCATTTTTTTTCTCATTTTGACCTATAGAGGGATGTCAATGTGAAACGATGACGTGTGCTGAATTGCTAAGACAGAAGATGCTAATTATCCTGATTGTCTATCAGTCTCCTGATTGTTCTGTCACTGTAAGGGACAAAATGTGTTTACTATCATCAGCACCATAATTAGTTTTATTACCAATGGAGCTATCAGCACATAATTTGCATTTGCAACTCAGTGAGCTTCTGCGCTTCTAATCTTCATGCATACCCAATGACTTGATGGTTTGTTTTGCTGACAGGGTCCGAGAGGTCCTTGGGGACCTAAAGGCGAGAAGGTAAGTCTAAGCAGTCTGAATTTCAGATTCTGCATGGAAATTACTGTTGCTTGTTATGAGTCTGCGCAGAATTCACAGAAAGTCACAGTGCATATTCTTCTTATTGCTTTAATTATTTTATTTTTAAAGGGACAGTTTCATTATTTACTTAATCTCATGTTGTTCCAAACCCAAATGACTTTCACCATAATATGAATGTCATTTTCTTAAGTTAATTAACATTATTTATATACAATAGGCTTGGGTCCGAGTCGAGTCCTAGTTTTTAACCAGTTTTCAATTTTAGAAGAACAATCCATTTAGTATGCTTTTTTTTTGTCTTCAGGGAGATCCATGTGAACCATGTCCAGTGGTGTCTTTTGACTCCAGTGGCAACACTGTGGCCTTTCAGAGCAAGCAGGGGCCTAAAGGAGAACCAGGGGCCCCAGGCAAAGGAGAACAGGGTCCACCTGTGAGTTCATTCTCAAAACCAACTGCACAAACCGCTTGTGTTTATCACAAAAAGCTAAAAACAGTTCAGCATGTTTGATTAAATGTCTCTGTGTAGCATCCTGAAACTGCTTTTATCTTCCAATACTCAAATCTGTGCCTGGTAGACACTTTATCATTGCAAAATATCCAGCTGACAATGCTGTTCACCTCAGTTGCCCGCCATATTTGTGTTTGCCAAGCTCAATGAAATAAGCCAACAATCAGCGAGGTTTTTTTCACCTGCTGTTGTTGTGTTGAATAAGAAATGCTGTCGCCATTACACTACCCTCTCACAGGGAGAACAGATCTTCTATCGTGCTTCATTATAGCTTCAGGAACATTCAGGTCTCTCCTATCATCCATGAAATCCATCAGCCTTCCCCCCTCAAAGTTTAGACCACTTTCTGTGTCAGATTTCATTTTACTCAATGGCTACGGTAAAGGCCTTTCCATTTTTTAGCCTATTAAAATTTCTCCTCTCTCTTCTTCAGAGTAAGAGGGAAAAATTCGGACAAAAAAAGGATTCTGTCCAGCATACCATAAACCGCTTGTTTGCATTTCTCTGTAATGATTTCCAATACCATCACAATCTATTCCTCATACCTAGTTGTAGGACAGAGAGTGAGAGCGTGGGATGCAGAAAGTGGCAGGGTGCAAATGCGGGATATTTACAGTGGAGAAGTTGCGGTCAGCTAGGATGATATTAGTGTCATGATTAGGGAGACTGATGCTGATACTTGTATGCCTCTATTTACATAGGGCCCTGCTGGACTGGATGGCAAAGCAGGACATAAGGTAAGTTTTTGCTGTTTACTTACTGTTTCTTACTGCATAGAAGCACACAAACACACACATATGTAAAAATATTAATATCTACAATACAACATAGTAGCACAAGGTGGGATATTATAAAAATACAATGAATGAAATGGCTAATAAACTGGGCATTTACCAGTCAATATATCTGCTGGATGAAAAAATAAACTACTTTAACATCATGAAGGCGGTTTTTCTATAAATTTCACTCACATTTTCTTCAATTTTTTTCCTCAGATTTTAAAATCTGTGTGTAGTTCTTTTTATCATCTTATTTTATTCCTCTGAGGTCCACTTATAATGTTAATCAGGATTCCTTGCACTAAAAACAGTCATAATTTAGCTTACATTACCATTTTCCACCCTTTCTCTGACCCTTAGAATTAATTGGCCTGTTTTTGCTACTGTACATTTCAGACTTAAGTGTAAATACCCCTCTTTGCATGAGAAATTAGAAACAACACTACAGACTATTAGTATGTATCCAACTTCCTCCCCATTATTTTATTACTAGGACACTGAATATCTGTCATTGAGATGTGCATGTGGGCGTAATTTTTGCCACTTAGTTTTCAGTTTGTTTTGTTTTTGGAAAGAGGAGAGTTTTGAGTTTACAATATGATGCAACGTTTGCATTTTATTTATTTATTTTTTAAATCAAGCAATACTTAATATGATAAAAAGCAAAATGTAAAAATAAATAAAAATCATGGACCATTTTTAACTTCTTTTGGAAAAGGCACTGGAAAGTAACTATGAAGTTTATTTTTTTTATTTGCCCTATTTTTAGTCTGTATCTGGGAAACCATTAACCAATCCAAAATACACAATATGACCACACATATACACAGACACAATGAAATAGGCTTTCAATTTAATGTTAATAGCTGCTTCCTGTTGCAGAGATTTTTCTTAAAAATCAGTGTTGTGACAACTACAGCACATTGCGGTGTATTCCAGGCTAAACTACCGCCTGCATTTTTTTTTTTTTTTGAAATTCAAGAGTGCTGAGTCACTGAAAATGTCATCCAGAGTTTGAGCCATTTTTACAAACTGTCTTGTGCATTGTGATTCTTTCACAGGGAGAGCCAGGAGCAGATGGGGCCAAAGGCGTAAAGGTGAGTCTGCCAAACGTTGGCAAGAAAGATGAAGAATCTGTACACTGTTTGTGAATTGCTTGACACTGGGAGAAGTTCTGAAGCAAAATTAAGTTGCGAAATCTTGCTATCTTTGTTCTCTTAGGGTGAACCGTGTTCTGGCTGCCCTACCATTGGAGATATTCCAGCAGGCATTTTGAATCGGGCTCAAAAGGGAGAGAAGGGAGATCCAGGTGTTGGGCAGAAAGGAGAGCAGGTGAATGTGATGGAGTGATTGCTCATTGATATCCAGCACACAGCATTTAAAAACTTCTGCATCACTTTCTCCCACAAGTCCTGAAGTGCAGTAAATTACAATGCAAACAGTTTTTGATATCCACTTCAGTGGTTGTGTATGAGTGTGCAGGGATGCATATATTGGCTCATGCATAACCGCAGACATCCCTGATCTGTATAACTCCACGCATTCGGCTCAGATATAAGCCTCAGGCACAAATGCTTTTAAAAATTATCTAATGACAGATTGGGGAATTAAGCAGCCAAGGCTTTTATTTCATGTCTGTTAAACAATAGAATATGCACTGATATTCTATGCTTTTATTTTTATTTTCTTTCTTTTTACTTGATTTTCATGCACAGGGAGAACCAGGTCCAAGTGGCTTTGCTGGACTAAAAGGGGAAAAGGTAAACCTAATGGAAATGTATTCACTAGGATGATGAATTTCTACATTTTCAAATGGTTGTAATGTTATACACTATTATAAACAGGTACATACATATACATGTGCAGTGACCCTGAAAATTATTAGTATGGATGTCATTATTTTAGGTAATTGAAACAAAGAATTTCACAAAAATAAGTCGGTTGTCAGATTTAGTGGAACACCTCTGTACTTAATGTGATGAACTACACCTGTAGTTGCTCTCTAGGGCACCTGTGTGGAGAGAAACTGACTTCATACATCCATTAAAAATGACCTTGGGACCAGATGGTTAAAAGTAATTGCTAAAAGTTTGTTCTGAGAAAAGTTAAGAGTGCATTTTTTTCAATGCCATTTTTTTTCCCAGTGCATTGAAATGCTTAAGTGTGGCTTATGTGTCCAAATACTTTTTGTTGCCACTGTGCATGTCTGTAGTGTGTGTGTGGTAATTATCAAATTGAAGCAATCTTTATCACATTATAAAATAGTATTGTCATTTCGGGAAACAATAAGGTGTAGACAGTAGTTTTTTGTTATACGTTGTACATTCATATGTAACATTTTCTGGTTATAGGGTAATGCAGGCAGCAAAGGAAATGAGGGGAAAACTGTAAGTAACCATTTGTTTTATTATTCTTGTATATTCTTTGTGTTTTTAACTTGCATCTGTGATTTATGACTGACCTCAGCATTAGATTAATGTGCAGATGCTGATGTTTTTTAGGGCAAGCCTGGTCCAAAAGGGTCAAGTGGAAATAATGGAGAGAAGGTGATTAAGCTCAACTCAGACTTTGTTATTCTGTACTGATTGTAAAGTGTTTTGATTGCAACCTCACAGCACCAGGAGACACACAAATACCACAGTTGGAGAGGCAAATATAATAATAATAATAATAATAAGACTGTCTCGCTGAATTTAGTGTAAACTGCCAGGACACTGTCAGGTTTCTGAAGGATTAGGTGACTAAAGACTGGAGTAATGGCTGCTGAAAATTCAGATTTGTCATCACAGGAATAAATTGAATTTAAAGCATTCAAATAGAACAAATTATTTCAAAACATTACTGTTTTTACTGTATTTGTCACCACCTTGATTAGCATAAGTGCATAAGAGACTTCAAAAACATTACAAAATCTTACAGACCCCAAATTTTGAACTTTTTTTTTTACATGAATTTTTATGAATTCATGCAGTTTGAATCCTGCTGTCATTAAAGCACAAGTGTGACAAACCATATAAAAAATAAAATAAATAAAAAAAGACATTCTTAAATTCATGTTTATTTTTCAGTTCAGCTTATCACTCAAATTGTTACACTGGTAAAAAAAAAAGATAGATAGATAGATAGATAGATAGATGGATGGATGCATTTTCACTAGTGATGTCATTTTTTTACAGGGTAATCCTGGTCAACCCGGTATAGGGGCAACTGGTCCAAAAGGTGAAAAGGTAAGTGAATGTTTTCACACCGTGCTTTTCTCTCCTTCATTAAAAGTGTATGGATGTGCTTAATGTGCCTTGTATTTAAGGGAGACTCATGTGGCGTGTGCCAAGGCACAACCTCTGAGGTGGGAAGTGGCCCATCTACGATAAAGGTCACAGGGGAACGTGGCCTTCCAGGACCTCCAGGCCCACCAGGAGAAGGAGTAGAGGGCAAACAGGTAAGCCTGACTATTTTATGATCGCTTTATATAATAGGAGGCAAGGGTGGTGTGTTGCTTCTAGTGTATCAGTCTATAAATGTTTAATTTGAGAAGCCCAAAACACACTGACCTTGTTTTCAAAATGGATGTCTCAACAGGGGTCACCAGGTCTTCAAGGTCTTCAAGGAGAGAAAGTAAGTACATTTTTAAACTCTGCAATAGGGATTTTTCTAGGCATTAAATATGATTGTTATGTTTGTAGGGTGATCAGGGTTTACAAGGAGACCCAGGTGTGGATGGGGTACCTGGACCCCAAGGACCTCAAGGAGAAGCAGGCAGGAAGGGCCTTAATGGACTAAAAGGAGAAAAGGTCACTGTCACGCAACATTGATCATGCGGTCACATATTAATTACATTGCAGTAAATTATGCACCATCATGGGATATTTTAACAACCATTCATCATGTTGATATAATAGATTACCTTTTATATGACTGCGTTTAAATTTGCAGGCAAAAAAAATACCAGATAAGCATGGTTGACCATCTAGATTCCAGCTCACTTGCAGTTTGAAAGCTTTCTGTCTTTTCTTATTGCATCTGTGTCTACATCGCCAGGGAGATGCGTGTGACAGTTGCCCCTCACTCTCTGAAGGAAATGGCAATGTTGTTGGCTTACCAGGACCCAAGGGAGAGAGAGGAGAGCCAGGTTTGCCAGGCGAGGGCCGAGAAGGCAAACAGGTACGAGTTTTTCTGTAAAAATGCATGCTTTCTCAATAAATTAGTGATACTCTTTCATATAAAACTACTCTTCAAGTAGTTTTATATGACTATTGCACAAACCAAGTCCTAACTCCAGATATTCAACTTAGGAGCACACAATTTGTGTTACATATATGACTGATACTTCAAATCATGCAGCTTTTTGAGGAGAGGTTCACTTTTCTAAGCAATTGAACTTGTGATTTTGGCTTAGCAGTTGATATAATGAAAATAAAACTAACATAACTTCTATGATAATATTGATAGTACTTAGTTAAGATGCCATTTAGCAAATAAGTGTGATTAATAGGGTTATAAGGATACATTGATATGGATATGCATCAATGCATTGATCAAATGGCTAACAATATGAAATATCAATTACATATTCATGTTATATTTTGGATGCATTTGTGAGTTAATAAAATTTAACTGCTTGTGTAAAATGGGCACATAATACCATATTATCTTTATTCTATAGGGTCGGCAAGGCCCACCTGGTATCAAGGGACCTCCAGGGCTCAAAGGCAGTCAGGTAAAGTTATACACACACATGTGCATGCATCAGTCACAACTGTGTGCGAGAGTGATAAGACTGACTGGAGTGATGCTTATGTTTATTTATTATTAGGGCGATGCTGGTCCTTCAGGTATTGGCCTTCCAGGACTGCAGGTGAATGAACAGCTATTGTAATCCCTCAGAAAATCTGTTTTCATTTATACTATTTTTAGAGAAATGTGCGGGTCTCAGTTGCATTTAAATTATCCCTTAAATGCACCAGCTCTTTGTAATGTTTTGATGTTCTCACTCAGGGTGAGCAGGGACCTAGAGGTTTTCCCGGAGCTGCTGTAAGTGCACAAAAAGTATTGTATTCTTGGGTGTTCACACATGGATTTGGCCCTCTGAGTGTGCAAATTTGCAGATGTTGTTCTCTTTGAATTGTCTGTATTTTTACTTGTCTACTGTTATTTGATACATATACTACTGTTCACAAGTTGAGGTTGGTACAATTTTTTAAATGTTTTTGAAGTCTCTTATGCTTACCAAGGCTGCATGTATTTGATTAAAAATACAGTAAAACAGTTATGTTGTGTAATATTATTAGAATTTAACTGTTTAACTGTTTTCTATTTGAATATATTTTAAAATGTAATTTATCCCTATGATGGCAAAGCTGAATTTTCAGCATCATTACTCCAGTCTTCAGTGTTATTAGGGCGATGCTGGTCCTTCAGGTATTGGCCTTCCAGGACTGCAGGTGAATGAACAGCTATTGTAATCCCTCAGAAAATCTGTTTTCATTTATACTATTTTTAGAGAAATGTGCGGGTCTCAGTTGCATTTAAATTATCCCTTAAATGCACCAGCTCTTTGTAATGTTTTGATGTTCTCACTCAGGGTGAGCAGGGACCTAGAGGTTTTCCCGGAGCTGCTGTAAGTGCACAAAAAGTATTGTATTCTTGGGTGTTCACACATGGATTTGGCCCTCTGAGTGTGCAAATTTGCAGATGTTGTTCTCTTTGAATTGTCTGTATTTTTACTTGTCTACTGTTATTTGATACATATACTACTGTTCACAAGTTGAGGTTGGTACAATTTTTTAAATGTTTTTGAAGTCTCTTATGCTTACCAAGGCTGCATGTATTTGATTAAAAATACAGTAAAACAGTTATGTTGTGTAATATTATTAGAATTTAACTGTTTAACTGTTTTCTATTTGAATATATTTTAAAATGTAATTTATCCCTATGATGGCAAAGCTGAATTTTCAGCATCATTACTCCAGTCTTCAGTGTCACATGATCCTTCAGAAATCATCCTAATATGCTGATTTGATGCTTAAGAAGCATTCTTATTGTTATCAATGTTGAAACAGTTGTGCTGCCTAATATTTTTGTGGAAATTATGATACATTTTTCAGGATTCATTGGTGAATAGGAAGTTCAAAAGAACAGCATTTATTTGTTATAGAAATCTTAAGACATTATAAATGTCTTTACTCTCTCTTTTGATCAATTTATAGCATTCTTGCTGAATAAAAGTATTATTTTCTTAAAAAAAAGATTTAAAAAAAATCTTACTAACCCTTTTGAACAGTAGTGTATGATACACAATAATAAATCAAAATAATAAATAAAACAACCCCCTCAATATAGAAACCAAGTGTGAAAACAGTCATGTGTATCCTACAGGGTCCAGAAGGACGTCAAGGACCCGCAGGGCCAATTGGACCAGCGGGACAAAGGGTAGATCACTAATGCAATAACACAGTACTCCTCAGTCCAAAAGACACAATGGATCTGACCTCACTGCTGTTCCAATGTATTGCTTGATATCAATAGGGTCCAAAGGGAGAAATGGGACCACCAGGGCCACAGGGGCCAATGGGAATGGGACCAATTGGACCCCCGGTAAGAACTTGAGATAAAACATGGACAAAAAAGTTATCCCCAGTCATAGGGACAGCCATTTTTTATGTTCTTGCTCTCTTCTTTACATTTAATACCTGAATGCAATTATGGATTTACATGGTGTATTTTGCATAAAAAAGAATGCAAGAAAAGTTCATATTTCATATTAAGTATGCTGTTATTCATAATCATGTTCACAATATACTATTTCATATAATACAAAATAGGGAGTGTAATGAGACACAGCCAGTGTGTTTTTATTTTTTGTCTTGCACTTGTAAATGATTTATATATTCTGTGTCACAGGGTAGGGATGGTACACAAGGATTGCCTGGGATTCCAGGTCAGGATGGGAGTTCTGTAAGTTTGTTTAGTTATTTATTTAGTCCTCTCCAGCAATGCTTTGCTCAACCCCTCTAGCTTATTCCCATATTGTGACATGCGCTCTGTCATTAACAAATTCACCCAAGCATATTGTCCGTTGTTCATTGCTCTGCCGTTTAGAGACGGCATCAAACGAACTTCCATAAACTGCAGAGACAAAGGCAGCGAGAGTTTGTTGTCTTGCCAGAGCTCGGCTCATTAAAAAAGCAAAGTTAGCGTTGTCTGTTCTCACATCAGATGTTAATTACTTGAGGCTTTGTCGCAGAGAGCTTGAGGAGTGAAGCCAGAGACAGACTCGGGTCATATCCGACTCTGCCTGGATCCCTAACAGCAACACATTGTCTGCTTGCATCACGTCACCTGTCGCTGCTCCTCCCCGATCCACACTCATCTCGCTGGCCCTGGAGAGTTACACACAATAATACTGTCTAACTGAGCCTTTGTGTGTGTGTGTGTGTGTTTCTCCTTGTCTTTCAGGGAGCCACTGGGCCTAAGGGTGACAAGGTAAGTGTCTGGATCAGTGAGCTGGGGAGGCGATTTCTAGGTTCCCCGAAGCAGTGACAATGTGTGTGTGGAGGGAACGATGAATAGGAGGAGTAATGTTTAGAGCGACCGTCTGTACGCACAGTGATGTGTCCACCCTGGAGACACAAACAGACGCATAAGTCTGACAGAAGAGTTTGACAGTGCTGAAAAAGTTAAAAATGCCCTCGAGCTAAAACAGGGCTATTAATTGGTGAATATAACAGCTGTCATCTGTAATCTGACAACATCACCGAGTATCAAAGAGAAAGGAAGTGTGCGTGAGGGAGATGAGAAAGAGAGACCTCGATAGAAAAGCCCTGGAAATGCTTCATTCTTTAATGTCCTCTGTTGTCTCCCTGACTAATTTGTCTAAACACAGAGGAAAGTGGCAGCTGATATCAAATGATGCATATTCTTCCTAAGTGTGATGAAGTGCTCTGTCATTCCTGTTGAGTGCCAGGATAGAATTCTACAGCAGAACCTTTTGTCATTTCGACGTCATGTCATGTTGCAACACAATGTCACATGCTTGTGTGTGTGTGTGTGTTTGGACCATGGGTATTATAGTTAACTAAAAATAAAACTGAAACTTAAATTAAAACATAAATTAATATATATAACATTTCAAATCTTATAAAAAAAATAAACTAATCTTATTTTAATTTAGTTTAACAGCATGTACTAAAATAACTATATAGACATATATGGAAAAAAAAACTACTAAATTGACAAATACACAAAAAAATCACAAAATATCTAACTAAAATGAAAATGGAAAATAAATTTTTTTAAAATTGATTGAAAATATTAGTAAAAACTATAATAGTATCTTAATGATACTGCTTGGTACTGTAATAAGGGAATTATCACTATAATTATTCCAAATACTAATTGGTTTGACCTATTTATTATATTTATACTTCTCAACTGTCAAATGTCATTACATTAAAACATTATTATTATATCTGAATTATAATTAATGCTCTCTTTTAGTGTAGATTGAATATATTTAATTTAAATAAATCATTTGTTCCAATAAGAAAACATAAAAACATTTAGAATACTTTAGCAACCACATAGTATCACCCTGGAAACAATCTAAACTAGTTATGGCAGTTTACTCAGAAAATGTCCAACTCACTATAACCAAATTGTTTTGTTTTTTTTCTGCATCGTAGGGTGAACCAGGAGAGTGCAACTGTTTGAATAATATGTCCCCTGGAACTGGCGGACCTGTGAGCTAATGCTTTATTCATTGTTGTTAATCAGGAGGACATTAGCACACTCTCACACATAAACAACTCAAAGAATTTGGGCTATTAAACATAACCTTTTAAATCATGAGACCTGATGTCATTCACAGTGCTGAATTTGATTACTCTTTTCTTGCAGGGGGTCCCAGGTGGTGAGAACAGGTGGCAGTCTGGTCCTCAGGTCTCACATCCGTTTTCACTCTTTATCTCCCTTCTGCTGCTTAAATCACTGCATTTTGAGAAGTTTATTAAAAAACAAAAAACTAGCCATTACAATAAGGTTTCAGGGCTACACTCTGCTAATAGAGACATACAAATAAATCTGAGAGTGATTATGACTCTTTTAATGAGTAATGAATGACCGTCTTCTTACTTTACTCATGTGCTTAATGTGCCTTAGGGGCCTCCTGGACCACCGGGCCCTCCAGGTCCCCCAGGGCCCCAAGGCTTTACAGGAATCCCCGGCCCACACGTGAGTATGAAACAGATGGCATCAGGGCGTACCTCTGCTTTTTCTTTCTGTTCCTCCATCCTGCTCTCTTTGTGGGGCTTCTGTATCGGGAAGGCCTGCATGGGTAACTCTGGGGTTGAACTAAAGCATATTTAAATGCACCAATAATGTTTACATTTAAAACATATGTTAATTTAGCAAATAATGTTTAACACCTAAAGCTGCCATCAATTAAATGTAATGTAATGTAAATGTAATGTCATGCAATTGTAATGTAGTTTGTAAAAGAGCGCTATATAAAAAATTGCTGTTAAATTTGCACGCTTTAAAGGGGCTTCTGGGATTTTTGGATAGTGCCGTGGGATGGGCTTTGTTAATGCCTGTGCTTTTAAAAGTTAATGTAAAGTAAATGTAAATTTTAATGTAGATTGTAAATCTAAAGCATTAATGTGTAGTTAAAATACTGCGCAAAAATATGAATTCAATGTAATCTTAATACATTCATTTAATAAGTAGTTGGGGATCATGCTGCTTTTTTCTTTTTAAAAACCATCCAGAAGCTCACTGTGAGGTTGCTGTATTTAATTCAAGTCCATTTGATATCTTTATAAGTTATGTTTTAAATATACAATGGCAATTGTAATGGTATTTAAGCCCATCATCATTTAAATCACCCTGATAAACTGGCAAATTTCCTTCTATATGATCTCACCGTGAGCACTGAGTGGTCTTTAACCTGGTGTTGTGTTGATTTCCCAAGCCTCAGAAGAGCTAAGATTAAAAAATAGACAGAGAAAGGCAAGAAAAAATGTAAATGTCTACTCCGAGCTGGAACACAAACCAGGAGAGGGTCCAGGGCTTTGGCTACTTTCCATCTGCCCCGCTGGAGAAGGAGGTGTCCAGATTGTGGCCACAGGCTAAACCAATTCAACCTCAGTTCCTTCTTACAGGGTATCCCTGGCAACGATGGCGTACCAGGGAAACCGGGTCCACCCGGCCAAGCAGTGAGTAACCAGACAGGGGGAGGAGCTTTATTACAGTATATAAACACAGAGCAAGGAGCCTGGTTGGTCGACTTCTGCGTTACAAGGGGAGCGGGTCGGGCCTCCTTTAACGCGGTGCGGGGAGATGGAGGTGATTCACGAGGACAACAGCAACTTTTTTATAATACTAAAAGGAACCAGTAAGCATGCAAGGATCTTAACTCGGCACTCCGTGAGGCATCTCTGTTGTCCTTTATGGCCGCCGAAGCTCCCATTACCCTTTCAGAGTTAACTCACAGTCTCCGAGGCTTTGTGTAATGGTAAACACTGCCATTGTTTTGAGTTACGGTTAGGGCGGCCATTACTGTGAGTGATGTTCCGTACAGAAAGAGCCATTAGATCTTTGGTTGAAAGCAGGATTTCGGCATTAATGGCCCCGTCTCTCCGCACGCATATTTTCTCAGCTGGCTAAAGGCCCATCCTGAAATCAGAGCTCCAAGCTTCCAGCCTGCAGTGGAAATTTGGCTGGATTTCAGTCCCGGGCCGCTTTGCTCCACTTCTATCGGCAGACTCCGACCACCGAATTCTTCCAGAGCACAATCAGATCTAAACCATGTTATTCTTTTAACTCTCGTTCACCAACGTTCGAGAAACAGACCACGCGAACAGCTTAATCCCAAAACTAGTTTATTAATACACAAATAAATTCTGTTCTATAGCGCCAAAAACACTAAATAGTTCACTTAAATAAGAGTAACGAATAGCATTAGGAATTCAAAGGGTTCTTTTAAAAAACTAAAAGTGCAAACGATGACCAATTTCCATATTAAAACCTTAATTACAGTAGATTATTTGGATGGCGTAAGGTGCAATGAAGCCACTTTACTGAGATGTTAAGAGCCCAAACCAGCCAGTAGTGAGAGGAAATGACGTACTTGAAGCACATCAATATCTACCTTTAAGAGCATCTGAGAGCCGCTCTCATATTCGGTCAAGTTCTCTGGTTTAACTGTAGTTAGAGTAATATTTCAGTCCTCTATACAAAAAGGTTAAAATACTCTGGGGATTCGTTACATACTCCACATATAGGGTTCCATTATATCACATTGTGGATGTTGAACAGTGAAGTTTTGTTTTTTTGTCCTTCTGAAAGTCTTTTGTGCTCTGAAACTAATGCTTTTTAAAGTAGGATGTGAAAGTAACTTCTTATCCATGCTGTGAATGGCCAGCTAGCACAATATTTTAACCATAATTAATTATATTTTAATTTACATGTTTATGGATGCAATTAGTCAGTAAACTGTTTTGAAATGACAGCATAATACATAATTGTAGCATAATGTGAAATAATTTATCATGTTAAATTCAGGTTTTTTTCCTGAATAATTTCATGCAAAATAGTTCCATTATTAAAATGAGATTTTTGTTATTAATGACATAATGAGATCATAACTTTACTTTCAAAGCAATGCTTTTTAAAATAACTTTTAGTGTACTGCATTGCCTTGGTGTCACCACAGTCACTTTCTTCTGAACTTCTGATGATAATCACACATTAATTAAGTTGTAGTGAAGTGAAAAAGTGTTTTTGATGCAGTCAACATGTCTTGACTGTCTCCTCCATCTTGCAGCCTCCAGTTTTTCTGCCTCAGGATTCAGCTTCCACAGGCCAGGTAAGCAACGCATCTGTATTAACTGCACGTGTTCAGCTTCTCTCTCTCTCTCTCTCTCTCTCTCTGTATGACATTATTAGTATGCATGTGCAAGGAAACACTGGTATTATCTGGTAATATAATGTGTACAGAAACATACACATTAGCATTGTTGGTGTGGTGTGAATAAATGTTAAATTTGTCTATTCTGCCGCCAATATTGCACACATACGACAGCAAGACATCTGTGCAATGCATGCATTTTCATTTGGAAGATGGAATTGTTAGTGCAGGGGTCTTCAACCTTTTTGAGGCCAAGAACCCCATGGTGGATAGAGAGATGAAGCAGGAAACCCCTGTTACATATTGCATAAAATCTGACATACGTGACATACATATACAACCATATTAATGTATATACATAGTTTATGATTCTTACATGGCGAAGCTATTAAAAATTTATTTATTTATTCAAACTGCCATTCAAAAGTTTGGGATTGATAAGCATTTTTAGTCTCCTATGCTGAACAAGGTTGCATTTATTTGATCAAAAATGCAGTAAAATGGCATGTTTTGAAATAATATTACATTTAAAAACAACAGTTTTTATTTTATTTAAATTACATTTTAAAACATAATTCATTCCAAAGCTGAATTTTCGGCAGCCATTACTCCAGTCTTCAGTGTCACATGATGCTTCAGAAATCATTCTAATATATTAATTTGGTGCTCAAGAAGCATTTCTTATTATTATCAGTGATGACAGTTGTGCTGCTTGATATTTTTGTGGAAACAATAATGCATCCTTGCTAAATAAAAATATTTTGATAAATTTATGCTAAATAAAAATATATATTTTTTAAAACTTACTGACCCAAAACAAAATTAAACTTCTTAACTCTGTTTATCTAGATACTGATTTAATATTGCATTTTTGGCAGCATAATTACATTACATTTGTTCCATAAATTAGTTTGAGCTAACCAATTATTTTAGAGCATTATTAGTTTTAGAGCATTATAAGTTTTAGAACATTTTCTCATGTTTGATGTTGAAAAATACATTTAAAAGACATTTGGCAGGTGCATTTAAGATGTTTAAAACTTTGTTTAGATGTTTATCAGTTAAGGCACTTAAAACATAATTTTTTATCTTTTTATAATCTTTTTTCACCCATGTCTTAATGATAAATGTGTGCTGTTTGAGCAGAAGAATATTGGTTCGAAAATCATTTATTTTGCAAACCCTAGTGTTTTGGCTTTGAAACGTTGTACATTCTTTAAGCTGAGGTTATTTGGATTCTTGCATTCCTGCTCTATCAAGCTGGAATGTGAGAGCACAGTTTTTACTGTTAACAAAATATCCCGTGTTTAAATTTCACACACCTTCCTCAGTCTGTCTGTACCTTCTTACTCTTTAATGCAGCAATACTATTCACTTGTAACTGCATGCAAATGCTGTGTTTTCATTGTTCATTTGCTTCTTGCAGTGAGTACACATGTGTTTGTGTCATGTGTATGCTTCACTGTAGGAGGGCTGTGGCGATTGCTCCACGGGCCTACCTGGTGTGCCCGGCAAGGTTGGCTCTAAAGGCGAGAAGGGAGATCAGGGCAAGCCTGGGGTTGTACCCTCAGAAGGATGCGAACGGGTGAGAGGGATGAATGATGGATGATGTGATTGGTATTAGACAGGGTGTGGGTTTGTGTTGATAACATTGATTTGTTCACTTGTTGTATGCTTTCTGTTTGGCATGCTGTTTGATTTCTACAGTCGTTTTGCACATGCTAGAATATATAGTACTAAACCTACTAAATCTCTATGATCAACTTTACAGTGTCTACAGCCTCAGAGACCACAGAGAGAAGAAACACCAAGTGTGCCTGTAAGTTCCCTATCGCATAAAACAGTGATAGGGAAGCATCCCAAGCTACAAGCTACTCATAATGTTAAACAGTTAAACTACAGTCATAGCTATTTACATTCAAGCTATTTAACTGGGTAAATATATCACTAGACATTTTTTTTTAAATTCTGCATTCAGCTGTATCTATCTGGCACAAAAAAAATAATCTTCGAAAGGTCTTAATTATGATGACAGGATTAAAAATATAAACAAGTTTAATAAATTAATATTAGTACTGTAAAGTTAATATTAAAAAGTAAAATATTTAGTTAAATGTTGCTGTTCATCGTGTTTTGATGTATATAGCTTGAATTAAACTAGAAAAACACTATATAAATGGGTCCAAAACGATGAACAACAGCATTTAACTAAATATTTTACTTAAAAAATGATGCAGGCCATTATACAAGGTTTTTTATATTTATATTAGATTTATATGTATATAAAATACATTTATTTCATAGTAAGTATACTTCAAATTCATTAACATTTATTGACATATCACTTAAGACTTACTAATATAACATTATAATTAACCTTTATTTGGAGTATTTCTTTATTGCACATGCACATTTCTTAATATTATGCCTAAAATGTGTTTTAATATCACTATTAATAAGCATTGTACAAGCTCTGTATAATATCAGTCTTCAGTCTTTATATGCAAGTCAAGATATTTCAAGTGTACCTTGCAATGTATGCTTGCAATAGTTCCAGTTTGGCACAATCAAATATACTTCATTATATCTTTAGTTGGACTTCAGCACTACTTCCGCACAATTTAAGTGCATTAAGAACAAAATTAGTTGTTTCAATTCAGCAGACTTTATGTATACCAGTTTAGTATACTAAAAGTACAATTGCAGGGTATTTTATTAAGCACATAAATATGTAAATGTATTCATATTACGCTTAGCACAAAATAAATGCATTTCAAATACATTTTAGTATATAAAACTAGTGGAAGCTACTATCATGGTATTGAAAATGTTATTATTTGTGTTTCTCTTCAAATTGTCTTAAGCATTTCCTGATTGCAACCCTTCACGTCTGCTCAATGTTTTTAGACGAGTAACAGTGGTCAGTGCGTTGGTGCACCAGGGATGCCTGGATTCCCAGGGGACCCAGGGGTCAAAGGAGAGCCGGTGAGAGACCTTGCTGAGTTTTCATTATTACCAGTGCCTATTAGAGAGGATACAAGAGCTAACAACACAATACTATAATAATATTATAAGCCAATATATATAGCACACTCAAATTCTATTATTCTGCCCCCAATTCTATAACAGATTTGTGTTATCAGAGGCTTAGGAATAATCTGAAAAGGTGGTGGACACATTTATAAAACCTTATCATCTTGGCTCATGAATATTAATTAGGTGATGTAATGTGTGTCCTGTTGTCCTAACTGATTTGCTGGAAGACAAGTAGGTGGGCGCTAGGCATAGTAGGATTACTTCACACCGCCTTCACGTTCATTCAGTCCACTGCTGATGCAACCGGTTGGCAGAGACTTCTGCCTGGTCTTAGTCATCGTCGTCAGCTACTATTTATTTCAAAACAGAATCAAAACAAACATTTATATTCAACATAGAACTTGCTCCACATATAGCTACAATGTGGCCATAACATTGTTTTTCTGCATCAAGTGGCATTTAGGTATATTTACACAGACTCTTTAGAGGTGGTGTGAATACATTTACACTGCACTTAGAATAGCACAAATAATGCTATGAAATTAATGGGTTTTTACATGGGTTTAGAAATGAATATTGAAGTAGCTGATTTGTTCAGAAATTAAGCAAGTTACTGTCTTTATGAATGGGTCACTGAATCATTAGTTCACTCGATTCGTTCAAAACCATGGATTTATTCTGTAATGAAACAGCTGGGTTTTTCACCCAGAAATCACAACTGTTCGTTTGAATTCAACTTGTTTGAATCCATTTAGGTTGGCAAAACTGAGCAAAAACAAACAATATTTTAACACAATATTAACTGTACATTGAACTGCTATAAATAAATGTTAACACATTTTTGTTCATAGTTAATCGCATCAAATTAACAAATTAACATGTTTTATATATATATATATATAACATTATCCTTGTCTCTGTTCATTGTAGGGTCCTAGAGGTGAGCGAGGACCTCCTGGTCTTCCTGGAACCCCGGTAAGTTTCTACTTTGCCTGTTATGCCTCAGATTGTCTCCTAAAATGTCATTTCTGGCAGGATTGCCTTTTTAGCCCTCTTTTCTTAGAAACTGAGGGAGTGACAGCAACCCCAGATGGCTTTCAGAGTACAGTCTGTATCATATAGAGACAAACCAATGCTGAGCACTTGTTTCAGAAGTACAGCAAACAGTGAAATGTTCTGCATGAATTCATCTAGTCACTAACATTTAATCCCACAATGCAGTGTTTGTTTGCACGATCCATTTTGTTTTAGGGTTCAGTGTTTTCAGTTAGAATGGACCAATACGCGAGAACAGTGTATTTATTACTCTTTGCTGTGAGGTTAGAGAGGCCCCTACTGTTTTAGCTCAGAATTGCATAATGGTTTCCAAAATAGTCCCAAACCTATGCCTAAACTAATTTCAACATGAAAAGGCGAGTTAAGACTTTGTGGCCATTTAAACTTGTGTGCACTGGCTGGGGAGGATTCTTTTTTTATTTATAAATTAATGCTTTTTGTTTTCAATAATATCAACTACAAAGGATTCCAGGTCAATAACCTTAACCCTCAATAGCTAAATATCAATTACTATGAAAACAAAAAGCAACAAACTCACTGAAACCCACTGAACGTTGATCGTGATCCACTTAGTATTGTGCAGTGGACCACACAAGTAGTTTTTTGGTTTTCAATTCTGTTGAGTAGTACAGTTTTGTCACACTTTACTAGTACCAATATTCAAAACCAAGTAAAACAGGCTGCATGACTATGAAAAAAATGATTGGGATGCATGTGTGACAGGATTGCTTTTTTTGTTTTTGTCCATTATAAAGGAAAATATTTCTAACTGTTGCTCTCTTACTATCATTCTTTTATAGGGCAATATTGGTTTCCCTGGTCCTCAAGGGCCTCCTGGACTCTCTGTAAGTCAAAGCATGCCAACTCACGATCAGCTCAGACAAACACCGTAGATGTTTAATTACCTCAGGAAGCCAGCCCATCTTCTCTCGTGCGCCCCAATGAATGCCATGACAGAGAAATAAAACTGTACTGCTGTGGTGCTTGTTCAATTATCTCTCCATAGCCATTGTGTATGTGCTGCTGACAGGTTATTTTGCAACGCCTTGAATGGCATGTTTTAGCAGAGGTGTGGGCTCACTGATGAATTGAGTCTGAGCCAGAATGGATTTTATTTTAATGTTGTCCAGCTTTATGCTTTGTGAGCTTTATCTGACTTTCTTTAATTTGCTTCAATCGAATCTGTTTGAAACAACAAACTCAGCGGCGTAGATTTTGTGCAGTTTTTTTTTCTTTTCCTATTAGCACGGGAAAAACAGAAAATAAAGATTTACAGTAGGCCAATGTTTTCCAAATTGAAATTTTCTGTGGAATTGATCCACTAATAGAATGATATATAACTGAATCGCTGAGGAGACTGTGCAGTCAGCAAGATTCAGGAAAATAACAGAAGGACATTGGCAAAAGAGACAGCCAGTGGAGGGATACTTTTTTCTTTTTTTCGTATTATTTAAAGATGAAGCCAAATACTCCCTCTTCTATTTCCGTTTAATGTGCAGAGACAACTGTAAGTGAGCGATTATTAAGTTCCTGAAGAGTCTAAACACTGGCTCTGTGACAATTTCACAACTTTGTTTGTTGGAGTGGCCTGGCTCGACCTGTGTTGTGAGTTTAGAACGGACTGCTTTCATTAATCATTCTTAAATTAAATTAAAGTTAAACCAGTGAGATCAAATCCACCTGCTAAACATAGCAATGCACTTAATGATTTAACACCCATGAAGCAGATCTGAGACTTTCAAACCTGCTGCCGGCAACTCTTAAATTCATTATTATTATTTATGCAGCTGTATTTTTCTTAAGGGAAAGTCTTTATGATGTTGAAATCCATTTGTCCTTGACCTTGCTGAAAAACCCTCAGAAAAAAAGAATGTTTTCTTCCCACAGGGTGCAAATTTACTTAGTTTTTCTCAGTCGATTTTAACGAAGGTCAATGCATTTAGAAAGAGTAAAATATTATTAGTATGAGAACAGTCTGTCTGGGAATATTATTTCATTACTGTTTCGATCTCTATGTTAACTGCTTAAAGAGCATTGACCTTCATTTAGGGAAATGTATCGAATCGATTAAGTAAAATCTGTAAACCGTTAAGTGATGTATCTATGCAGGATGTGTTTACTGAAGGATTATCCGATATGAGATTCAGCTCAGGTCCATGCTTTTTTCATTATGCATGCAGTAGCTAATAGGCATGTTTTGTTCCGTGACTATAAAGTTAAAAACAATAAAAACAATAACTCTGCATCATTTGTCTGTTCCTGGAATAAAGATGGCAGGAAAGAAGGATTCATTAATTCATTCCCTTACTTTCAGCCCTCGCTTAGAAAACAAATGCCAGGCTTTGGCAGGTGTATTAACTGTTTTGTTTTGCTGTTAAGATCACAATGATGTGAAATGGAGGGCTGTAAAAACAAGTATTCTCCAGAATAGATATACAGTAGATATAAATAGATATAAAATAGATATAAAATGCTTTTATTTGCATTTTTGCTGGCTGTGTCGCTAATGTCTTTTTTAAACATAGGGTCAACAAGGTCAAAGAGGGACAGATGGACTTCCAGGACAGAAAGGTGAACAGGTGAGTAACTCAAGAATATATAATAAAAAGGAGCCCATGACAGTTTGCTATATTATTGAGGTACTTTTATTATTTTCACAAAGGGTCCACCAGGAAATCCTGGCTATCCTGGAAACATGGGACCGCCTGGACTTCCTGTAAGTGGTATTAACATTTTGTCCAGTTGACCAGATGCAGAAAAAGCATATATTAATGTTTTGTGACATGTTGTATAACTGATAAATGTTTGATTGTTGGGTTAAAATCATTATGCTTTTTTCCAGGGCCTTAAAGGAGAGCGTGGCAGTCCAGGAACCGCAGGGCAGAAAGGAGATTCGGTAAGAATGCACTCTTTAAACAATGATAAACTTCTAGTATCCAGATCATCCATTTTTAATGGGATCTGACTATTTTATGTCAGTAATTTTGTCATTTATTTGATCAAAATACAGTAAAAACTGTAGTTTTGTGAAAGAATACAACACAAAATATATTAAATAGAAACATTTTATTTTAAAATGTTTTTTTTCTGCAATGGCAAAGCTGAATTTTCAAAAGAACAGCATTTGTTTAGAATATAAGATTTTGTAACAAAATAAAAGTGTAATTTTGATTAATTTAAAGTGTCCTTGCTGAATACAAGTATTCTTTAAAAAAATAATCTTACTGACCCCAAACTTTTGAAAGATATACTTATTGCATAGAATTACATACTTTCCAAACCACCTCAACCTTTTATTTTGATTCTCCTTTGAGGGTTCAAGCCACACAGCAGCATTCACAGGAAATCGTATAATGACTTGGTAAACAGTTTTTGAAACTTTGCACTGTTTTTATATAGGGTCCACCGGGATCTCCAGGTTATCAAGGACCAGTGGGCCCTGCAGTGAGTAAACATCCAGTTTTTCTGCTTCACGTATATAGACTCTGTATATTACCTGAAGTCATGACCCTCGACTGCACTTCACTATTTTGTTTTTTATCATTGTGTTTTTCAAAACAAACCCTTATGTTTATCTTGGATGACTGATAATCATGCACGGTATATATGTTGTAAGCCAGATTCCCTTTTGTATTCTCTTTGTGAGTAATAACTCTCAGATCAAACAAACAAGCTTCAAACGTTTTGTAGATTCATTGTGAACAACTTTTTTGTTCTTTCCTTTGATTGTATTTCTAACAAAGATTCAACATTGTTCTCAAAAAACTGTGACAGTTTTGTGGTGTTAAAAAACATATGTTTGCTTGACTGGCAGGGTCCTAAAGGGGAAGCTGGAACAGCGGGACCCGTGGGACCAAAGGGAGATCAGGTATGAAATCATGTTACTGATATATTGACAACAATTGTTCTCTTATGTTTTTATATATGTCATATCTCTTGATATCACATTCTCATGATACCTTATTCTTTGATATTACACTATGTAGAGCAAGATGTTCTGTTTGCGTCTTCAAATTTACAAGCCCAAGATCTAAGAAGTGTGCTAAACATATACCTGTTTTGTTTTTTTTCCCCTGGAAAATAAATATTTATAACATTGTGTATTTACTCAATAAATTCCCAGGTGGAAAATCTTCATTTTGTTGTTGTGATTACAATTTGCAGTGCGCATAATAACAGTTCTTGCATCTTTTGTTTACAGGGCTTCCAAGGATCTCAAGGATTCCCAGGACAACCGGTGGGACTTCAGTCATTATCTGTCATCTTTCTGTCATAATTTCCCCTACTGTTTCACACAAAAAATATCACATTATAGAAGTGAAATGGATTCCAAAATGCAATTAAGCCTCATTTCTCTGAATATGCTAATGGAACAAGCCAGATGTCTTACTGTTGCCTTCATGTCTCCAGGGTCCTCCAGGTTTCCCAGGAAAAGCAGGTCCTACGGGCCCTCCGGGGCCACAAGCTGAGAAGGCAAGTGACAGTACTATAATGCCTGAACATGCATTGATAAATGAAATTATACAACATAGTGACATTCCTGGCTCATGCTGGAAATAAATCCTTACATGAGCAATGACATTTGATAAATGACTTATCATTTGCAATCATATGCTTTATCACTTATGGTCACTTTCACAAGCAAGCGCTCTGACATACCATGCTTTAGTCCTAAAATGGCTTGACTTGTGGATTTCAGATGCTTCTCTATCATGCACTCACCCTTACTTTATCTACTCCCTTAGGGTGGTGCTGGAGTTCAGGGCCAACAGGGACCCACAGGTCCCCCAGGATCTCCCGGGTCCCCAGGCATGCCTGTGAGTCTCAGAATCCTCAGAATAGACACATTTATAGCAGCCATTCAGCCTATCTAGTGTCTGTACACAATTAAAACTTTCACAAAGTAATCATATTGTTTTGCATTTTGTATTTGTTTAAAGGGGCCACCTGGGATGGAAGGACTTGATGGCAAAGATGGAAAACCAGGTTTAAGGGTCAGAAAAGATAAAAATACTATAACCACACATATTATATTATAGTATTACATATATATATATATATATATATATATATATATATATGTATGTATGTGTAATGTGTATAATATATATAATGTGTATATATGTTTATCTCCGTTTCTATCATATTTTCTGTTTTTACTATTTCTAACTGTTTTATTCTCACAATTAAACAGGGTGAACCAGGAGTGCCTGGCCCTGCTGCACCCAGGGGAATGCCGGTATTAAACGTGCCATATTTTCTTTCTTTGTTTTCACTTTCCAAGTTCTTTGTAGATTTTATCAGTGACACATGAATACCAAAATCAACAGTTGGAACAAAGACTGAAACAAAGAACAAAGTCAACATTAATTAGGCATCTCCAAGGAGGAGCTTGACTTGACTTTTCTCTGATTGGAAAAGGCTTACTTGTTTTATAACTGTTTCTCATTCCAGGGTTTCAAGGGCATCAAAGGACACACAGGTCTCCCAGGAATGAAAGTACGAGGCTTTTCTTTGAGTTTCATAGCCTTGTCATTATTTCTATTTGAAATGTGTAGTGCATAAATGAATAAAAAATTACTATTTCCATTGATCCTGTCTTTAAAGCTGATGCCTGTAATGTTTTTGATGTTCAAATACTTTCTCTTAATGAGCAAAGACAACTACAAAAGTAACATTGCATTTTCACATTGTTCTGTGTGTCTGAATTGCTCTACATGCAAACTTTGAGCTCAGTCTGTGGTGTTTGGAAGTTTGGAACAAGACAATTTGCTATCCCAAACAATGGGAAAACATTTTGGAAACAATCATAATTTTTTCCAAATCCATTTGGCACTTCCAATGATGCAGAGATTACACACAACAGTCTATATTTTTACATATCTCTTTTGTCTTTTAATCTACATCACCCACTCTTCATTGTTATCTGTAGGGAGATAGAGGACCTCAGGGACCTGCTGGAGCAGCAGGAAGGCCTGGTCTAGAGGTAAGCTGTCTTCTGTTAGATATATTACCACTGAACCTTTAAATGTGCTATAGATTTCCTTACAAATGCTCTATATATTTCAGATAATGAAAGAATGCTTTGAAAATAGGTTTCTGCACCCTTAGACCATTAACATACTTCGTAAGCAAACACAGATGCAAATGCTTGGCCAACGTATTGCAAACGCGTGATCCCATTGTACAAACCTAATGTGTTGTCATGTTACTGTGGCAGTAACAAACCTCAATACTCATGAGTAGAGTTGGCTCTTTTTTGTGCCAAGCCATTTCGATGTTCTATCCACAGAGTGGAGATGAAGAGACATACTTATGTTTATAATATCTAATATATTCAGGAATATTCTCTTTAAACGGTTGCTCCATTAGTTAGAAGACAGTTAACACTTATGTCCATAATATAATATTACATGGTTTCCTTTACGGCAATGCTGAGAACTTACAGTATTCGCATTGTGCTTTAAATTGCAATCTGACACACACGTCTTGATAAGTAACAACTTTTTTACTCAAATTTCAGGGAGATCCTGGTCCTTCCGGACCACAAGGACCACCTGGAGCTCCAGGACATGTGGTAAGTATTTAAAATATCTTGTAATCTACACTTTTTTGGGTTTGTACATTACCATTCAACAGTTTGGGGTTGGTAGGATTTTTTTTATTTATTTTATTTTATTTTTTTATATTTTTGAAAGAAGTCTCTTGTGCACACCAAGTCTGCAGGAATTTGATCAAGAGAACAGTAATATTGAGAAATAGTATTAGAATTTAAAATAGCCATATTCTAATTGAATATATTTTAAAGTGTAATATATTTCTGTGATGGCAAATTTGAATTTTCAGCAGTCATTATTCCAGTATTGAGTGTCACATGTTCCTTCAGAAATCATTCGATTATGCTGATTTGGTGTGTTGAAAAAACTGTTGTTATTTTAGGATTCTTTGATGAATAGAAAAAGCAAAAATTACTAAAATAATTTATTTGAAATATAAATATTTTGTAACATTGTAAATGCCTTTACTTTCACTTTTGATCAGTTTAATGCATCCTTGCTCAATAAAAGTATTAATTTCTTGACAACAAGAAATTTTACTGACCTCAAATTTTTGAATGGTAGTGTACAGTACAGATAAACCACTTGAGAATATGATAAATTAACACTTTTAACTGGAAATTTCTAGGGTGCTGCTGGATCTTCAGGACCACCAGGACCAATTGGGCCAGCTGGAGTGGTGAGAAAAAGTCTTCTAAAACAAATAATATCTCAGAGATGTTTTTAATCGTTTGAATGCTTTACTGTATCTTCTTGTTCTTTACCAGGGCATTAAGGGAGACAAAGGTGAGGCAGGAGAGAGAGGACAGTCTGGATTACCTGGCCCACCAGGGCTCCCAGGACATCCAGGGCTGATGGTTAGTACCTAAAGTTGGTTTACCATAATATTTATATGAATAAATATTTATAGTGTCTAATTAAATTATTCTTTTAAACCTTTTTCTGTCCCTGTTTTTTTATTTTCTGTAGGGTGAACCAGGAAGTGATGGAGCAGCAGCTAAAGATGTAAGTATCTCCTTTGATTTGCTCCTGTATACAACTTTTTTGCACAATATGCAACTTAAAAATCTGTCTGATTAAACCTTAATTCCAAAGAACCTGTCTCCACTTTGGAATGCACAGATAAAAAAATGTATGAGCAGTTACAGTGTAATTAGGTGTTTACACAACACAGACTTGTGAATAACAAAGATAACTCCCAGCTGTCATATTTGGAATTCTTGAAACTGGAATTTTGGCTTAATTGGATTATTAAAATCTGGTTAAAGCAATTATATTGAAACATTCAAAATTGAAATGAGACCAAATTCTGGTTGATATTGCAATGTGTTTGCACATAGACCCAATGATTATTACTGCAAACCTTCTACTATTTGTCCCAGTTTCACTCTTGTAATTATTTGTAACCGCAGGGAGCCCCAGGCCTGCCAGGAGAACCTGGTCCACAGGGACAGAAGGTAAGATGCATTGTTTTCACATCTCTGTTATAATGTCTTTGCACCATTGAACGCTGACATCTTTTCACATGCATTTGGATACATCTTATTCAGGCATAAGAGAGAGTTCTCCCCTCCCATCGAAGTGTGCTCAACACATCCTGTTAGTTTTTGTGCTTACATTTGTTCAATGAAGTTCTCAGGTGGCTCCATCTGCAATCACAAGAGCATGTTATCTAACCTCACTTTGCCTTCACTCTTTAGTTTTTTCCTCCCTCATCTGCCACAGTAGCCTGTTTGAACACCACTCTCAGCTTACATAGTGACACCATTATGCTCCATAATAAAGCCATAGAGGAGCCTCTACCTGTCACTGTGACAGGACAGCATTGTCAGGCTTTTGAAGTTTAGGTGTGAATGAGATGAGAGCTGTGCTTTTCCCTCGACCCATTAGCAGAAGCCCTTAAATGTGTAAACAAGTGACTTGCTCTATATATACTGCTACATGTACAACATTAGTGTTGGGAATGCTACTTGTAAAGTATTAAAAATATCCAACCTTACAATCCGTTATCAAAAAGTAGCTAGCTACATTGAAGATATTGTTGGGGCAGTGTCTTTTTTTAAATATGTAACTATTAGCAATAATTAGCATTTTAACCAATACAATTAGACAACACTGTAATTTATATATGTAAACTGAAAACATAACAATAAACTGCATAAACTATATATATATATATATCCACAAAAAAATATATATATGAAATGCGAAAGAAACCAATATTTGTTTGTTTTAGGCCATTTTCTAAATGAGCCATTTTTGTAAGTAAAAAAATAAATAAATACAAAAAAAGTGTGTGCTCAGCTGCAGTGTATAACTAAATAAATGAAACATTTTTTAACTATCTTGCTTAATTTAAATTAAAAATAATTAATAATTTGATATTAGATGGAACAAATGAATGTAAGAAGTGTTGCCTTTGCAACTAAATAAAATATGTTTATAGGCACGTACTAAAGTTATGAAAACTGAAACAAATTTTTTTTAAAAAGTTATAGAAATATTTCATTTAAAAAAGATACAATTAAGTAATTAAAAATACTAAAACTTAAATAAAACCTAAAATAAAATAGAAATACACACACACACACACACACACACACACA